CCTGCTTGGAGAGCTCTACTTACTTCAGCTTTCTGATGTAATGCAAAGGTGTAATAGGGTGTTCCTGTGGGAATTTTGAAGGGATTAAATAATGCAATGTAAAGGGCAGAAATGACACGTGTGTAAACTCTACATTCAGTGTATCAGCTGGTGGAGCACAAGAGAAGACACGCATCGAGGTGCTGTCCTAGACCTGATGCTTCAGTGAAGAAAGACAAATGCCAACAAGCACGACATGAACTCATAGTTCTAGTAGAGTTTGTGCTAGAGACCAAAATGGAGCAGGACAATAGAGTGGCTTAATGCCCACACCAGCTCAAGTGTAAGATTCTCTAATGAAGGTGACAATTAAATGGATACCAATGACAGAGAAGAGTGACAGTGTGTCAGCCAATGAGCAGAGGCAAGAGCCCTTGAGGGGAAGGGAATATTTCAAGCAGAGGAAACAGCTAATGAAAATGCCAAAGATAAGTGGGATTCACATTGACGGTGTTGAACACATGCATAGGATAAAGTGGGGTGGATACAATACAGTGAACTCTCAATGCTTCAGCATGAGACTGGAGAGATGACCAGAGAGATAGTTTAGGGGAGCCTCAAAGCTATGGCCAACACTTAACTCCAAGCACACTTGTTCTTACTTAGATCTGTAAAAGAGATTCCTGAATGCTGTTTGTGGGAGGATTGTAGACAGTGGAGAGAGTTCATGTAGGATGCTACTACGGTAACACAGACAGGCAATCATGATGGTCTCATCCAAGAAGAGATGGTGGGAACAGAAAGAACAGACTGGATTCTTGATAGGACTCTACCAGTTGATGGTAGACTCAACAGCAGCCTCTGATATTTCCAGTGGAGGGGAGGTAAGATAATCAAAAATTATTTAAGCTGTATATGGTGGAGCACACCTATAATCCCAGACTTAAGAGGTGGATGCAGGAGGATGAGGAAAAGACCTTCCTGGATATACGAGACTTTGTCTTTAAAAAAGAAATAAAATAGAAAGAAAATCACTGGAGTCATAGATGGTAAACGTTCACTATTCCTATGTATTAAATAATCCCTGTCTGCCATGGAACAACAAGCACACCAGAAAGGCATTGTGGGAATGGCTGAGTACCCACTGTCAACAGATTGATTAAATGGCTGCAGGACAGGACGAGGAGAAATACAGAACTGGACATCGAGAGGAAGAGTTAAAATAAACTTGACCTATGTTTCAATTTTGCCTACAGCAAGATCAACTGGATGGCTTCCAGAAAAAGGGAAAACAAAAATCATACACACACACACACACAGTTTTGCTGTGTGTAAAGATCTAAACCAACAGAGGAAAAGGAAGGCCTTGGAGACAAGGACATACAAGTTGGACACATCCCCTGCTTAGGGAAGTGGACATCTCAAAACACCAGGATCTAATGAGTGTCCAGGAAATCCTACAGCTATGTCAGCAGCTATCAGCAACCTGAAGCATTGATTTACGAGAGCATAACACCATGCTAAGGAACCAGGCAAGCATAGGGCCAGGCACAGGTATGGACCTAGGAGGCACCACCCACAGGCAGCGCGGCCCCAGAGTACATCCTACCCAAGACACCAGCATTCCAGCTGACACTGGTAGACTCTGGAGCTCCAGAGGGTGATATCTCATAAAAGTAATTTTTCTTTTAAAAATAAACAATCCCCCTAAATGGTAATGAACAAAATAAATTATTTCTGTGTGAAGGGGTAAACAGGATAGTTTCTAATATCATTTGGAGCAAAGTGGGTCTGTGTTCAGATGTTGGCATTGGCTTGACTCTTGACCTTCAAGAGTGACTGATTTGTGTGGCTCAGCCCACTTCTGCTGGTGAAATATTATGATAAAATCCCAGAGTGGCAATAAATCCTTAGCTTCAATATATTCTCACTACTTTGCCTGCCTCAGCATCCTACAAGGTTTCTGCTTCTTTCGTACTATAATTTTGAGGGGTTGAAGCAATTCCATATGGTTTGAAGGGGGAACATCAGTGTAATAGTCAGGCAGGGTGACACACGTCTGCCATCCCACGTACTCTGGAGGTAGAGACAAGAAGATCAGGAGTTCCCTGTCACCCTCAGCCATGTAGCAAGTTTGGGTTGGGCTGAAGTCAGTCATGTGTAGCCTGTAAGTCGCATGTCAGATACACCTATATAGGCCTACCTGAGGGGTATCTTTTTACACAAAGCCTGAAGCACCAGATGATCCAGTAGGTCTGTGTTATGCTATGCTGAGATGACAAAACCAGTAGACTGGCTAATGGGCTATCAGTGCAGGTTGGTCACCTCTTTCAGTCCTGACATGCACCGCCACCATAGTTGTTCATTTGAGATTGGGTCTCACTGTATGGCCTTACCTGACTGGCAGCTCTCTACATAGACCAGGCTAGCCTGAGAGAACAAGTGTACATCAGGCATGTGAGGCATCGACCACAGGTCTTCTGCGGTCACACCTCAGTATGACAATGAAGAGACAGCAGCCAGCTGGATTGAGTACACCACAGATCATGTTTAACTTAAACATCAGACACACACGGAGTGGGGGCCACCTATATACGCAGAGGTCCTGACCTAGTAAGATAACTGAGGCATCTGTTACTATGACAACCTGACACCACCTTGTTGACCTTGAATAAATCATTCAATTTCTTTAGGCCTCAGTTGCTATACCTGCCAAACTGAAATGGCTTTCCTTGCCCAATTTATTTTGCAAAAATGTAATAATTTTTAGGTGAGCCAGTATATATGCAAGTAAACTGGAAGCTGTAGTAAACCAGGCAGTTGGTTTACTTAGATCTGTGTTCTCAAAAGCCAGCAGAGTGTGTGGCATCCTATAAATGTTTGCTAAGTGGATATGTGGATTAAAAATGTCTATGTAATCAGACCAAATGGGGTTATTCAGGAAAGCACCTACATATATCAGCCAAATAAAATGGTATTTGGAGTTTCACTTGAAAAAGGTCTTTAAATGGAGATGATTTCAAAACGAGATGGAAAACTGAACTATTCTCAGTTTAGCTTGATATGTCCTTTGGTTAAGTCGTTATAAAAGCACAAGATATTCATACCCAAAGCTGGAAGGAGGTGGGCAAAAAAAGAAAAAGAGAAGAAGAATGTAATATCAATCAGTAGGTCGGTACAAAAAAAAGGAAGATTTAAAAAAATGAATTTCTTTTTAATAAATTCTGTATTTAGAATACAAAAGGCCACCGTTTTATTTCAATATTACACTCAGATTTGAAGGAGAAAAGAAGAATGTTTCGTGCTTCGGCCAGATATTCCTGTGACAAAAATTCTGCATAGTGAGTAGACAAAAAAGAACTCGCAGTGGAATCTGACACCAACCTCTTTAGCAACAAAAGACCTGGTACCCGCCTACCAGGAGCATCTCCTCAGTGCTGCCTGGACTCCTGAGCTGAGATTCTGAAACCTGTGGGTTCTGAGCGTCCTACCCTAGGACCACAGACTGCAGGATCGATGTTCAATCAGAACCAGACAGAGATAGAGATAGAGATAGAGATAGAGATAGAGATAGAGATAGAGATAGAGAGAGAGAGAGAGAGAGAGAGAGAGAGAGAGAGGTAGAAAGAGAGAGAGAGAGAGAGAGAGAGAGAGAGAGAGAGAGAGAGAGCAGGATCAACATTTCATCAGGACCACAGATGCTAGAGAAGGGCCCAGTAGGGCGAGCAGCATATTCCTGATGTCACTTCCTGACGCTCCTTTTCTTGCCGTTTAAACTGTATTCATCTCCAAAGGGTCTATGCTAGAAAGCTCTCAGGTGACTGGCACTCAATATGACATGTAAAAACTTGAGGACAGAGCTATAGGGGGGAAAGTCATTTAGGCGAATCTATTGCATGAGTCTGCAGGTTAACTCAGCGTCCTATTTGTGGGTGACCCAAGATGTCATCCCTTCTATTCTGGGTGTGACTTGGGCCACCATGGTCTCCAGAAGGGCTATGAATCTACCCGATATGTGTGAGGAGCAGAAGGCGGTGGGGAATAGCATTCAGTGCTGGGCTAGTCATCACCCAGCTATAGAACCAAGACTCTGGCTGTCCTTGTTTGCTTTCTACTGCCTCGATAACACCTGACCAGACCAACTTATAGGAGGAAAGGGTTAGTTCACCTCATAGCTTACAGTCCGTCATAAAAGGCTGTCAGGGCAGGAACCTGAACGCGGGAGCTGACGCAGAGGCCATGGAGGACCACTGCTCATCTGCTCTTCCTGGCTTCCTCAGCCTGCTTTCTTACACAACCCAGGACCACCTTCTGAGGGATGGCACCGCCCACAGCGGACTAGGCCCTCCCATATCAATCATTAATTAAAATAATGCCCCCATAGACTTCCCTACAGGGTCTGTCCCCAATCACCGAGAGGACTAGAACAGCACCTGACTCATAGTGAGTTTCCAGAGTGCTGGCTGTTGTTATTTTTATTATTTTCAAACCTGTGTTTCTGCTCTAGATTTTAGGCAGTGGCAACGCAGAAAAGGGTAACACTGTGCTGTTGCCCTCAAGAAATTCACAACTGGCCCAGGAGAAGGACAGACAGACAAGCGGACTGTAATATGTGTGACTTGACTTTCACCACACAGTGTCCAAAATTCAGGAGGAGCAGAAGAGAAAGTCTTCCTGGGAGTTACTCAACCTTGAAGGGCTACATTAGAGGAGCAGGCTCAGTCACTCACTGCTTGAATAAGCTTGAAGAGAAGAGTGGGTGGGAAATCCATCCATTAGCACCAACAAGCACAGGAGGATGAAGACACTACCATCTTCCAAGGCAGGGACCAGGCTACTGAACATTCTCTCCATGCCTGGGTCTATGCACAGTGATAGGCACTCCCACAGTCTCTCCCTACAGAAAATCTGAACCCATATGTTGGAACAGAAAGTCCCGGGTGTTCTGTAATGTGCTGTGGAAAGGGCTGCAGGCAGGTCCAGTGCAGAGCGGCCACAGAGTCAGGAGGAGAACCATCCCTGGAAGTTCCGCAAGGCACAGAAATCCCAGGTCAGATCTCTGCCTCGGCCCCTTCAGGAAATCCTGTCACTCACTCAGGACTTATATACAGCTCAGAGTGGCCAACTCCACTGAGCTCCTGTGGTTAGTCTGTCTGGCCTTACCTGCCTTCCCTTCCTAACTAGGGAAAGGAAAAGATTTAAAGTAGATACCACCGACATGAGAAAGAACTCTCCAGGCAATCATCAAAGAAGTTAAAATAGTTGGATCCCCCTGAGGAGAGCCTGGCATAGAAAGGAGCAAGCTTTTCACCAGCATGCCGCTGCCTTTAATCCCTGTCTTCCTGGGGTTGCTTGTGCAAAACGCCTGCTCCCCAACAGAAGCCCCAGAACCGGTAAGATAAACATTCCTGTGTTTTCACTTGTCAACTTTCACAATGTGCTCTAGATGGTTTTGTTTGTTTGTTTTCCCATATAAACTTGGGTCAAAAAGCCCCACCTGGGCTTCATAAAAATCAAGAGAAAACCTACAAGAATAAGATCCTAAACCAGAGGTGCTATCTTTCTGGGCCTGGCTGGGTTGGCTGCTTCTTGTCTGCTGTGCTGACTCTGCAGCTGGCATCTCCGATTTTAGTACTGACGTTTCTCTTTCCCTGGTAGAGCTTCGTGTTCTGAGTTTTGTTGGACTACCTTATCACTGTGGGTACCAATCCACCATCTTCCCAGATGTAGAAATCAGACTCAGCTGTAGGAAGGCGCCCAGGGGAATTCCAGGGTAGAGAGGTGATGCCCTGCTGATAACAGGAAGCATCAGAAACATTTCCGAAATCCATCAGGCACCCACACATGCCTTCCTCCTTCCTCCGCTGGAGTGGGAGGACCACGGTGACCTTCATTTTAGGTCTCACTCAGTGGATCAGCACTAAAGATCCCAGAGACGCTCACACGGGTGCTGTGTCTGTACGAGGTTGCTGTCTCAGTGATGAGCAATCTCGGGAACAATATATAAGCAGTATTTGGAGTGTCATATCTCAGCACCAGATAGAGCTGTTGCTGACTCAGCAAGTCCACTTCGGCGCTGAGGGCACTTTCCTGAGACTGTGGCAGAGAGCATGATGGGTACCTCTCCAGTCCAGAGTTAGAGAGGGGCACATTTGAACTGCGACTTTGAAATATTTCAGAAGACAGGCCATGGGGCTGCCCCCTACACTAACCATTCAACCCTAAGAAGGTGAATTAATTCCTCTAAGCTCCAGCTGCTTCCCCAGATGGGGCTCTGCAAATGGTGGGATTGTTGTCACCATTATCTTCCACATGGAGGGCTTGCTTCTGTGCAGGCACTTGGCCTTTGTCCTTGTTCAAAGCTGAGTCTGTTCTTCAGTTGGCTTAAGTTTATAAAATGAGTTATTCCATTTGAAAACAGCAATTTGAAAGTCAGATAGATAAATGGATAGATAGATAGATAGATAGATAGATAGATAGATAGATAGATGACAGAGATTTATACATATATACATGTACACATATATATGTATACACATACATATATGTGTGTACATGTATATATGTGTATATATGTATACACACACACACACACACACACACACACACAC